AAGACTTTGTTTTCGGAAAGTGCAGCAGCTTAAGAATACCTTCACAATTTGCTGTTATATATATATATACTGAATATATATATATTGTTTATTATTTAATTTTTTACAAACTAAAATGACACTTATGGCAGTTACTTATGGAGGCCCTTTTATGCTTTTTGGGGTTTCTCTTGCCTGTAGTGACATCACTATGTAATACTCGCGCTTCTATTGGCTAGCGCTCCAACACATTGAATGCGATAGGATAAGGGGCGGGACAACTTTAAGCGGTTGACCAATCAAAACAGACTAATTTTACAAAGTAGAGAAGAACACACATTTCCATCAGTGTGCAACAATACTTTTCGGTCATTTTAACACTGCAATTCAAGATGCCATACCTAATGACTTAATAGCCAAACACCTGATGGCTAGATTTTGTTAATGTACTATATCATAAAAAAACAAATCATGTCCTGATTTTCAGAGTAAAATGTAACCTTTGGAAAAGCATGGATGTATTGATTGATTAGAGCAGAATACACCTTTTCATCAGTGTGCAGCAACTGCTTGTGTGTTGTGTTTGATCAATATATTCACTTACTCAACTTATAACAATATAAACATATATATTTGCCAATAACTCGGAAAAAGTGAAACGTAGACTTAGCAATTAGAAAAGAGCAAATTAAAAGTTTGAGCTTTCATAAAATATGGTTGAATTTATTTAGTATTTGTTTTTGCTAAAGATGTAGCATCATGACAAAATGAGCCATGCTTTTAAAGTCGGGTTTCAACAATCATTAAGACATGTTTCTTGATGTCTGAAAAAAAGAAAAGCAGTCAGTAGCTTTAAGAAAGTATTTGAAGTATCTAAGTATTTTTTTGCGAGTTTTATAATTTTTTGTTTACCAGAACTTACTGTTAAAGAAGCATAAATAGAATTCATTGCAGAAGAAAAAACTGACAACCCAACATTAATCATTTATACTATTATATACAGCAGTTGCTTATTTACATATCCAGCAGACATGAAGATATATTAACATACATTTAGAGTCATGTTTCATGAATCCTAATGGTGCCATAATCACTTTTAGCTCTTTTAGCAACAATCACTTCAAACTGCTGAGAAATGTCTACTAGACTTTCTTTTTCCTTGTAACTGTCAAGAAGCCAAACTGGTGAGATTAATAATCTTTTTAAACTATTTCATAATATGCAGAACAGCTGCGAGAAGTATAAAACGTCATAAACACTTGTATAAATATTCTACTGTATTTATTACAAGAAAGACAGGTCAGATTTACATAACAGGTGGCCAACACACCTACACACACACACACACACACACACACACACACACACACACACACACACACACACACACACACACACACACACACACACACACACACACACACACACACTTATTCTCAGCTTAAAACACTACATTAACAGTTGTATTGACGATATTCACACTTATTACGCTTTTTCTGTGAAAGCAACCTCGAGTGACCGACAGTCTGGAACTGGAGCTGGCAGGTGTGTTTTTGTGTGTGTGTATTTGTGTGTTAGTGTGTGTGTTTACAGAGCTGTGTCTCTGTCTCCAGCTGGGGCTGTTTGTGGTGAATAATCTGGACTTGCTTAACTTGGTTTAAAGAGGTGTTGAGTCACCGCTGGCGTGAGATGGAGCATCGTAGCGGTAAATATGTAGGTCAGCAGTCAACCTCTCCTACAATGATACTGCTGAAGCAAACACACACTTTTTTAACCAGATTATCATCTCCGCGCTGATTGCTTATCTCCGTCTACATAAACTTGGGCCTGTTGCAATAACAACTTCATAAAATATATATATTTCAATTAAAGCTGCAAGCAGAGATGATCGGGCCTTCGCACACCCTCACACGTTGGGGGGTTTCCAGGATCCCTGTGGCCGCAGCACTGAATCACCATCGTCATGAACTGATCCGTATCGATAACCTGATTTGTTCTGATTATGTGTGCATTAAAAAGCTACACACACACACACACACACACACACACACACACACACACACACACACACACACACACACACACACACACACACACACACACACACACACACACACACACACACACACACACACACACACACACACACACACTTATTCTCAGCTTAAAACACTATATTAACAGTTGTATTGACGATATTCGGGGATACAACTGTTATCCCCGAATATCGGGCGCGCGTCCGAAACTTGGCACACACGTTAACAATGATGAACTTAGTTAACTGATATGGTTGTTGTGTTTTGGTGTGGCAAGGTGGTTCTATAGAACCCCCAAAATCCTTAATGAAGCAGACCCCGCTGTACGTGACACCATGCCTGTTCAATATCTAACATCTAGGTGTCAGGTACAGCGAGGTTCATCATTGTTAACGTGTGTGCCAAGTTTCATACACATACATCGCTAAGCCCGAAAAATAAGTACTTCCTGTCTCATAGCAACAATGCAGTACCCCAGCAACAGCGTTCTACGACACTGCACAAGCCTCATCGTCTGGCAACTGTCACAGTTAACTTTAGAAGCACATCAGCAGACAATGAAAATAGAGATAGACAGAGCTACATTGTTTAAACTCAAGTAGAAAAGTTATACATTTATTGACTTAACTCAATAATGTTTAATAAAGTTTGATGCTAACATTAGCAACTTGATGCTACTGGTTTGCCACACTGAGTGAGGCTGTAGCAGGGAAGCCCCTGTGTTGAATCCAGAGAACATGTGTATTCATCCTACAGTATGAACTCAAGTTTCTAGTTCATTTGTTGTTTCTGCTTTAAAAATGATCATAGTCACGCTTAATGATTCTCAAAAGATGAACCCTTACTATTTAAGATATACCAATATATCTCTTCATCTAAAAGGCTAGTTGTCATGACAGTTTCTGAGAAAACCCATTCCCTCAGTGAGGATAAACTATTTTGATTTCAATTTCAGGAAAGAAAGTTAGCATACAGACATGTTGAATGTTCCTGAATGTCTTTTTTATTAACATAAAATAAAATGAGATTAAGCTGTGAAAAGTATTGCCATATAATAAATAAAAACGGTAAAGTAAAGGAAAAATCGTAATTATTTAAAAAAGATATATTTTTTTTTCTAAAATGATAATCACTACCAAAAAAGGGAACCAGCCTGAACTCTCGTGACATTGAGACACAGAAAGTGAAAAGACCTGTCATTCCAGGAGATGGAGCTCTGCTGCTATGCTTTACAATTATTCCCTATTATATTTCACAAAACAATAATGTCTTAAATGATCGTCGTAGATCAGATTTTGATCTGAAACCAACTGGAGTCGTAGTAAAAGACTCAAATTGATGGCCATTTCTACGCAGTTCTCGAACCACGTGAGTATATTTTTTAATCTGTAGCATCATACTTACGAGACATTATACTGAACAAGAAAAATAAAAAACTTTTTGGAAAAAAATCAACTTAACTTAAACTAGCAAATTATCTCTAAAAACGAAATCAAACAAACTAAAATGTTGCCAAAAGTATGGCAATTGAACATTCTAGACTATTATACTTTAACTGTTGAAAGAAGATGAAATATAAAACCCTTTGATGTACAGTAGGCGTATGTCACCCGGTCATGGAGATACAAACCGAAAATCCGAGACGTGAAGCTACATACAGACAGATTGATTCAAAGATACCACACGGACGCTTTGGCCTCCCCCTGCGACAATACCTGTATTACTGTACAAAACCACAGCAGAACAACAGCAGCCAATATCTGCGTTCCACCTTCCCACACACAGTAACACAAACACTATGAATCACTCTTGCTTTCTATGATGAAACAAACGCCTCCAATTTGTTCCAGAAACCTAACGAGAGCTTCTCTACCTCCAAAACCTTCTGAATCTCCCCTCCTCCCACAGCCCTCTGACATTTCACATTCTACTTCCTCATCCCCTCTTTCTCTTTTTCTAACTGCTAATCCAGACAGAAAAATATAGAAATGTATCATGACTCTTTAGCAATAACCCTCATCTGAAAGAGTGAGGAAGTCAAAAACAAGATGTTAAAGCTGTTAAAACTAAATGACAAAAGACATTATTTCTCATTTATAAAACTAATTCCTGCATTAAATCAAACATATCCTGTCCCAGGTGACTAAACGCTTACGGCTTTCTCACTCATTCTAGTTTAGTTTCTGTTTCTTGTGGTTGCATATTTGTTTTTATTTATCTTACAAGGGGATTTCCTTTTAGGGAGACAGAGTTCATTTCCGTTCAGGAACAAACTTTTGAGAACATGACAGTTGAATGTTCTAAAGCCTAATCTCTGATCAGATCTCTTGATACTATTATAAAAAATAGAAACCAACTAAGCAGAGAAACAAGACACACTTTCCACACAGTCCAATAAACTACTGATGAAGATATAAATTGATTAATCTTTCAGTCGAATGATCGCAAATAAATTGGTAAAGTATCCAATGTCAAACATTCCTTGGTTTCAGTGTCTTAAATGTTAAAACAATTGCTGCTTTTCTCTGTTTATTGCTACTTGGATATCTTTTCTTGGCTTTCGGACGAAATATCATAAACTGAAATATCATAAACTGAAATAAGCACAGTGATGCCCGATGCCTACTGTAGGCCTCTTCAAACCCGGATGCAGCACATTGCATCCAATATCAATTGAATCTTCTTGGCACTAGTTAATAGATGGATACTTTATAGTACATGGTACGGAACATTTAAAACGTTATCAGGCGGTTTAAATTTGTTTCTCAATATTTTATTTTTGTATCGATGGTTTTATCTGTCTTCTTTGTCATTGCCATAACTTCAAAGCTGCTTCATTTTTGGTATTTTCATATTCAGGAAAGGTTCCCTAATTTGGGTAATCCCTTGGTGAGGTGGTTTTTGCAATAAGGAAACATGTTTGGGGAATACCAATATGATTTTAGAAAGATTTCAGCAGAGAGGACATGATGGAGAGTTTCTTACCCGCAGTCAGGCGCCGGGCACCATCGACAGTCCGGGTCAGAGGCCAGGCACCTCCGCAGCAAGAACTCCTCATACTTCTCCAGCAGGGCCGCGTCGTCCAAGATGTCCGCCACCTGTCGCGGAGACAGTCTCTCGGCACATTCAGGGCAGCTGAGCTGGACTCTGCTCTCTGTGATCTCGATGCGGAGGTACTGGCGCAGGCAACAGAGGCAGGAGCGGTGGCTGCAGCCCAGCAGCTCGGGCAGCTGCTCGGGGGGCTGGAGCACCAGGCACAGGGGGCACTCCAGGAGGCTGGCATCCCCAGAGGAAGGGGCTCCATCCAGGGATGGCTGGCTGGAGGAGAGTGGCTCTGAGGGCGTGCCGGAGGCGGCGTCCTGGGGGGTCGTGGTGGCTGTGGCGGTGGTCGTTGTGGGAGTAGCAGAGGCTGCAGGGGGTGCTGAGCTCAAGGCAGAAGGGAGAAGCGGTTGTTGTGTGTGGTGATGTTGGTGTAGATGGGATAAAGGGGTGGCTGCTGCTCCTTTGGGGCCCCTGGCACCCCGTTTGCTGTGGAAGAGGCTGTGGAAGGAGATGCGGCCGTGGCGTTTGCCAGCCGCACGGCACTTAGGGTTAGGGATGCCGCTCACCGAGGAGTGAGGCGACTCGGAGTCCTTTTCTGATCCCATGATCCCAGAAGAGACACACAGGCCCGGGTATTGCCCCCCGAGACACGTTAATGTCTTGCAGAGGGACACTCAGCTTCACAAAAACACACTGAGTCACACACACAAGGGAGGACTTGTCCCCTGTGAGAACCAAACTGGAATGCAAATGATATCTGAGTTCCTGTTAGAGAAACTTGGCCAGTCACCCCCTTCTCTTCCCTTTTATGAGAAAAGAAAACGTTACCCGTAAAGAGTAAAATAACAGTGACGTAAAAACTGAAAATGAAAGTTCAATGTGAAAAATAAATCCCCTTAAGTTCCCAATGTTTCTCTTAAACTCGGCGTTCAAAAGTTGCAATTCTTTCATCTCCCAGGCAGACGTCGAGGTGACACCTTACTGCGATTATCAAAATGTTCATGTTCATGTCTGTTCCGATGAATTACTCACCTTAAAAAATATACAGGGTAAAAAAAGGAATGAAAAACTGAATCATCCACAGGTCAGTCTGAATGTTATGATTTATCCTCAGAATGGATTGAATTCTCCTCAGCTGAGCCTCTACTCAGCTCGTCTTCCTCTGTTCTTGTTGAACGCCGGTCTCTCTCTGTATGCTGTTTTCTGTCAGGAAGAGGAGAGCAGGAAGTTAGCACAAAGAGCATGCTCAGTATGACACACACCTCGCTCCCTCCCTCTCTTTTTGTCTCGGCTTTGCTCTTCCTGGGTTTCAATTTGATCATTAACTCTTGTGACCGTGAACTGATAACCCATCTGGGCTGAAGCATTTAAATAAACACACACAGATACACACAAGCTAATGCTACACTGTATGTGTTAAATAACCTTAATTAAAAAGGTTCAATTCAAATGAGAAGCATGTTATAGTGAAATACATGACATCATCAACCAGTCTCTCTGTATATATATATAAATATAATCTCCATCATGCTCAGTACCACAAGCTCTTCCTCCACTTCACACTGCGCTGCTAGTGCCGTTGCCATGGTGACGCTCACTATGAGCGAGGCAACAGCGACCCACTCTGTGACTGGCACTCACACACACACACACACACACACACACACACACACACACACACACACACACACACACACACACACACACACACACACACACACACACACACACACACACACACACACACACACACACACACACACACACGAAAATATACACACACAAGTGATTATTCCTACATATAGAAGCATTAGAAGGCTTGCTTACACCTGTCAACCAACACCAGTCACACACATACATTTAATATAATGATTATATTCATTACATGTACACACACACACCCACACACCTTCCTTACACACCTCTGACACACGCAAATGAAAAAGGAAAGAATTATGTGATAATGATATGCATGTAAATATCCATCGCACAAACACCCAACTACACACTTACACACAAAACATATGTTCTTTTCTTCCTATAAAAAAACACTTTGAAATCCTTAAAACAGACTCATAAAAAGACACGTTCAAATGGACACAGACACATGTAACTCATATATAAATGGATGTTTATTTCTTTAAATATCAGATTATAAATTCACTTCTAAAATCTGTAATAAAAACATTAAAATACATGTTGAAACCTGTATATGAACATGTACGTACACTGCATGTACACACACACACACACACACACACACACACACACACACACACACACACACACACACACACACACACACACACACACACACACACACACACACACACACACACACACACACACACACACACACACACACACACACACACACACACACACGCCTCTGAATGAACACAGTTGAAAAGTGATACTTGTGTTCACGTATGTATAATTACATTCTGTGTCCTCACTACAATTACAGGCTGTGTAAGCTGATGTTAAGGAGTGTGTAAGAAATACTAAACAGCATGCTTTTAAGTTATTTAGTTGCATTTTATTTTTGATTATGTATTTTAAGTGTTTGGTTGAAACACCTAAGAAAAGAAATGTAAAGGGTTTATTTATTCAATATCCCTTTTCCTTGAAGATGAATGCAATTTAGGGTTAGGTTTTTTTTGTTTAATTAATGAGATGTTTATATTAATTGAACTTGGGAAAACCGGAGAGTCCCGGAGAAAACCCAACATACAGCTGTTGTTTTTGTTTCATTCATTGAACACAGGGAACCCGGAGTACCCGGTGTAAACCTCCAAAAACCCTTTCACTTAAATAATACAAGACCCTTTCCTGCAGACATCTGAGATGGTTCTGCCCACTGAGGAGAAGAATCTGCAGATTTGGCTACCCTTTCTTGGTGTTGTCGTCAGCCGATATGTGATGATGACGGCAATGTGTTTCTGTAGTGCAGGATCCTCTAAGTACAAACAGCTAAGCACCTTTTCCGCGCAGCCGTACACCTTACATAAGTCCCGGAAAATGGCCTTGTCAAGATCTTTCAAGGCCCCAGGTTTGGGACCAAAATCAACCCACTCGATATCGGGCATTGTTTTCTCCAACAGACGACTAACGATGTCATTAACGTTTTCAAGGGCGCAGTCCACTTTAGCTTTCATAAAAATCCGCGAAACCAGCCTCTGCAAGACTATTTTGATTACCGCTTTTGTTTCCTTTGGCGTTTCAACTACTCTCACCGATGTTCGTACCAGTGACTGGCTGTCCTTAAGGGCACTTTGTACTCTATCACTGTGGCCACCAACCTGAGTTTTCTGCCACCACTTCATGAGTACCATGAAATCCCACACTTTGTTTTGTACCTCACTACGCTTCTTCGAACGTGACAAATATGTGCCAGTGTGAGTTGAGGGCTGAGGAGCCACTGATGTGCGAGGTGCCTGCTTTTGAATTTGTCCTGGGAGAGTATCAGGCAATTCATGTTTGAGGAGGTATGAGAGGAGGATATCAGTCAGTTCCTTTGTGAACACAAGGACTTCAGCACTGGGAATAGTGTTAAGACCCTTGAACACACTAATCTGATCTCCAACCTGTGTGTTTTTCCCATCCCTTGGCTGAAGCAAACGATCTACATCATCCATAAGTGACTGCACTGTGGACCTGCTGTCAGCTTTGGAGCCCTTCTGAAATGTAGACTTCAGTTGTGTAAAGATGCGAAGTATCCATGCTTTTGCAAAGTGTTTCGTAAAAAAGTTCCTTATCTTGTGCTCTATATCTTCCAAAGAAAGTTTGTGCTTATCTGCTCTTTCTGATGTTGGGGTTGCTGCAGCTGCCATCTCCTCGAAACCCTCCAGTCCTTCAGCTATTGCCATTGCAATATCGTCTGCAAGAACTGAACTCTCCTGAGAGCTTTGAGACTGCACAATCTCGGAGTCAGTATCAGACACAGGAGTCAAAAGAGGTCCAATGATCTCTTTCACCTCCTTATTGATTATGTCCTGGACAGTTTTACTTTTTGCAGAGTCAGAGCTGCCAAGGGATGAGCTATTCTCTGGGGTCTCAGTCCTTGCACTTTTGACTGGGGACTGAGAGTGGTCACTGTTGCTTGCCTGCCTCATATCTTTGTCATTTTTTGATTCTGCCAGCAAGTATTCTTTTGTTAGAGAGCACAAGAATCTCGTCTTGGCGGCAAATTCCTTTAACATTTTGGTGGCATGACCAACCATAGTATTAAGTCTGTTAGGTTGAGTGACATGCTGGCTTATTGTAAACTCTGCAGAGCGCATTCTGGTGAGGGAAGAGTTGAGACTTCTTACAACCTCTTTACTGATCAAGGTTCTCAAGCGCTTCGAGCTAACACTCTGCACAGAAGGATTCTTCAAGCCCAAGACGTCGGCAACACTCTGAGTGAGTGTGGTGCCCATACTTAGCACAATACTCTCCTCCGACACAACAACATTTGTGTTCACAATACCCTTCAACAAGTGTGAAGTCACAGATGTTACAATGCTTAAAACAAGTTCTGCCAACAAAACTTTAGTTGCGTCATCCGGGGTGCCGGTATCTAACAACAGCACCTGTTCTTTAGTTATGCTTTTATAAAAGTTCTCCACCTGGGGACGAACATTATCCACCCTAACCTCCAGTGTTTCCATTGTCTGTGGTGTTCCTTGTCTATCCATGGTATTGTTCCTGAATAATTATTGCAGATAATCTTAGATGTGTTCTGTAAATGTTTTGAATGCGCTGGTGTGTTAAAACTACCGAAAGCGATATGGTCCTATTTGCAAACCTTTGAGAATGCTGTCATGACATCATTTGGAAATGGCTTTGAAACCAAAGGCATTCCAAAATGATGTCATCACCTTGCTATGATGTCATCATCTGATGAAAGTACAAAAGCAAAAGACTGTTCCGTGTCACGGTTGCTAGGCAACGGCGGCACCTCATGGGAGGTTCCATTACATAATATTTTAAAAATAAACATTTTTAGACCATTAAATCTTGTTTCACTGGAAAAACTGTCTAAAACTCAAACATGTACAACTGAATCAGGAGAACTTCAATCTGAGTTGATCATTTGCAACAACAAAATGTCAGAAAGTTGTGAAAAATATCCAGTTTTTCAGACAACATCTTGTTTTGTTGGACCAACGGAACATAACTTGAGAAGTTGCAATTGAGAGTGACAGGATATTTGATGAATAAATGACAATGAATCCATTCAACAAGTATTTGTTGTATTCTGCACTGAAGTATTGAAAAACGATTGACAGAGAGCAAAAGAAGGACATTTTTAACAGGTACAGGATGTATTCAGATTATTCACTTAAGAAGATGTACAGAAGAGTACACATTTGAATCTAATGAAATTGTACATTTCCTTACTGTGGGAAAAATAAATTATTTCTGAAATCATGCATCTAAAAAGTTACCTAATTAGGAGTAGGCTATATTTTGTTGTATTTTGTAATACAATGTAAATAGGAAAAGAGCATTTCACTGGTGTTTAGGTGAATTTATTTTATATGCTGTAACTTTTAACTGCAGTACAATACATGTTGGGTAATAAAGTACTATAGTACTCCATAATAGTTGCGTCTAAATTGTAATGGAATGGAGTATAGGCCAATTTATATGTGTGCAATACTTAACTACTTACCACCACTGGAAAACTCACACCCTATAAAACAGTTTGTTTCTGTCCTGAGAACACACAGTACTGTCTGTTTTTCCCAACCTTAATTTCAGTTAAGTGCACAGATGGCAAGAATAAGAAGCAGCAAGCTTTATTGTCCAGAAAAAAAAAAACGTGTTTGCAATCTTGAATGGAGAGACTGAATGTGTTTCTAGAGTATGTGTGACAAATGAGCAAAAGAAAGGAAAAAGCGACTGAAACGTATATAATAATGTTTTTTATTTTAAATATCAAGTACACATCTAAACAACATCTACAGTAGCCTAGTCGTTTAAAGAGTGTGTGTGTGTGTGTGTGTGTGTGTGTGTGTGTGTGTGTGTGTGTGTGTGTGTGTGTGTGTGTGTGTGTGTGTGTGTGTGTGTGTGTGTGTGTGTGTGTGTGTGTGTGTGTGTGTGTGTGTGCGCACACTGAATTGAGCAGCAGTGGAGTAGGAGGACAAGTGTGGAACAAAATGTGTGTGAGCATGTTGATAACAAATCAAGCCAAGATTGTGAAGTTCTCAGGCTGT